AAAAAAAAGAGAGAGAGAGAGAGAGAGATTCAATCTGTAGCTGTGACTCGGGAGGGGTGGGTATGGAAGCAAAAGGAGGTCTGAAATAGTCCCAGCTTGAACACCAGGCAACCTGCTTAGCTTCCTAGGCCCTGAGGAAAGAAAGCCAACATACTCTTATTTTCCCAGAGACATGGAATTTATAGAGCAGTGATTCTCAAACTTAGCACACATAAGAATCCCTTAGATATTTTGTTAAATAAAATATGGATTTCTGGGCCCCACCCTGTGTTCTGATTCAGTAGGTGTGAGGTGGGGCCTCAGAATTTGAGTTTCCAACAAGTGCATAGGTGATGCTGATGATGATGCTAGTCTAGGACCAAACTTTGAAAAACACTCTTGTAGAGATCCCAATTCACCCAGATTTCTGAGGTCCTTACCTGTGAGCGGGTGGATAACAAAGAATCCCATGTTGTTCCCACTGGTGATGTTGAAAGTCAACTTCCCTTTGGAGCTGGAATCTGGGTCCCGGGCATCCAGCTGAAGCACAGAGGTGTGCAAGGGTGCATCCTCATGGATGGAGGGGTAGAACACGGGTCTGGACATCTGAGGTGGGTTGTCGTTGACATCCGTAACCTCAATGTAGACTTCGGTTACAGAAGAGAGAGGTATGGAACCCCTGTCCACTGCCAGTATCGTCAGCCAGTAGCAGGACACAAATTCTCGGTCCAGGGGTGCCAGAGTCTGAATCATACCTAGGGACAGTTGATCACCAAACCCAAAATATTTTAGAGCCCACACCTTACTTAATAGCCCCCAAATGGTACTATGGAAATAGGAATTCCACAAGAAAAGGTGCCAAGGTGGCATGGGAGCTGCTGAGTCAAACTCAGGGAATTCATATCCTTTTGTAGAGCCTCTAGGAGCCCATGGCAATTGTCCTTAAACCAGTTCCTTCAAGTTTCAGATATTATAGGTACCAACTTAAGAGTTAGGGATTTGATGAATAAATTGCTGTCCCCCTTTCCAGCATCTTCATGATTTCAGAGTCATTAGTTCACTCACTCCACAAATTGCTTACTACAGGCCAGCACTGTTCTAGAAGTCACGGGTCTAATAGTGAGCAAAAGAGGCTTGCACCTAAGTTCTCATGGGTCACTCAGCTGGAAGGACTTGTGCGAGAGGACAGGGCCCAGGTCCACAGCCATAGCGTGTCAGAGCTGAAGGAACCTCGTTTCTTTTCAGATGGGGAGATGGAGGCCCAGAGAGAGAATGTGATTTGATCAAGATCATGTAGCAAGTGGGCGGAAGAGCTGGGTCTATCATTGACTCTCAGTCTAATGCTCTTCCTACCACATCACCTTGCCCTTCACCCTGGAAATAAATTGCCCATCAGATTGTAAGCTCCTCGAGGACAGTGACCTACCTTTATTCACCAAAGTGCTTATCTCCAGAATCTCACAAGCAGAGGGTGCTTGCAAGTGTTTGTTGAATTGTACTTATTTTCTATGAAGCTTAAAATGAATAAATAAGTTGGTGCTACCTTTTTGGAGGGCAATTTGGAATTATCTATTAACATTGAAAATATGCATTATCCTTTGACCCAGCAACTGCATTTTTAAGAGTTTTTCCTATAGAGATTCATGCATATGCGCAAAAGTATATGATCAAGGATATTACATCTATATGATAGAATAAAATGCAGCTATTAAAAAAGAAGGGAAAATATTTATAATCACTGATATATAAGATATCCTGGTGTTATGTTATGGGGAAAAAAAGTATTGCAGACTTAGTGTGTTTTGTGTTATTTTCTCATACAATAAAATAAACAGTGATGATATATCAGACTGGAAGAAGAAAAATTTACAAGATTATAGACCAAATTGTTAATAAAGATATCTGGGGAGGTGGGACACACAAAAAAATACATTCATTTTTAAATTATATATAAAAATTTATAACCATGATGTATTACCTCTATAAGCACATATATATACTATGTTATATATATAATAGTTACATATAACATATAATATGTATTATGTAATATATGTGTGTATATAAATGTATACACAGATGCCAATGAGTTGGGTGATGTGACTTAAATGGACACACACACACACACACACACATCTCCAGTATGATAAATTTAAAACAAAAAGAACAAGAAGGAGAGTCCCTATTTATTGCCTTTCTTTTTAGCCTGCAGCCTGCCTTCTTTCAGGACAGCACCTGATCTCCTTAGGCCCATTGTCTCCCAGCACCTGGCATTCCCATCCACCCCACTCCCAGTACCTGTGTCTTGGTTGATGCTAAAGGCTGCAAGACTGGTGCCAGCCCTCAGGAAGTACTGGAGCTCCCCATCCAAGCCACTGTCATCATCGTGGGCAGCCACTACCATCACCTGGGTGCCGGAGGGGCTATTTTCCTGCACCTGGCCCTGGTGCACAAAGGAGGCAAAGCGGGGAGGGTGGAGATTCTCATTCACATCCAGGACTATCACTTCCACATGGCAGAGGGTCCTGCGGGCCAAGGGCCTCCCACTGTCGCTGGCCCACAGGCTCAGATTGTATCCAGCCTGCCTCTCAAAATCCAGCTCTCTCTCCAGACTGAGTGCGCCAGTCATCAGGTCCACGTGGAAGGTCCCATGGGCATCATCCAACAGGACATAACGCACTTCTCCCGCAGGGCCCACGTCAGGATCAGAGGCATCCAGAAATGTTAGAATAGTTCCTGGAGGCATATCCTCTGGGACTTTCAGGCTGCTGAGTTCTGTGATGCATTGAGGAGAGTTGTCATTGGCATCTTCCAATGTGATTATCAGGTCAGTGACAGAGAAGAGCTGGTGGCCCTTCCTGGGCTGATCCCTGGCCTCCACCTTGAGTATATATTGTGGTTCTGATTCCCGGTCCAGGTGTCCTGTGACAGCCAGTTCCCCAGTGAGGGGATGAAGGGCGAACTTATCTGTGGGGTTTAGCAGGGTGTAACGAACCCTCCCATTGTGATCCGAGTCAGCATCTTTTGCTTTCAACTCTGCAATTGTGGTTCCAACTTCTGTGTCCTCTGAGATGGTTATCTGGTACCCACCAGGAGGAAATCTGGGTGCATTGTCATTCCAGTCTTTCACATTCACCATCAGCAGCTTCCAGGATGACTTCTGGGGAGTGCCCAGGTCATACACTGTTATATTGAGGATGTAGAAATTGGTGGCTTCATAGTCCAAAGGGGCAGCTACAGTGAGCAGCCCTGTCTCCAGCTCCATGTCAAAGCAGCCCTCGTCATTGCCATCTGCAATCACATAGACCAGTTTGCCATTAAAGCCAGTGTCAGGGTCAATGGCTGCCAGGCGGGCCAGGGAGGTATTGACAGGAACCCGCTCAAGGATGTCAATGGACTGTGGGAAGTGGTCCTCAAACTGGGGGGTATGATGATTGATCTGATATGCACTTAAGGAAATGAAGTCCTCATCATTGGAGTCCTGGTTCTGAAACCCAACAGAATGGAGGATGGTCTTTGTGAAATGTGTCAATACTCCTGTTTTATCACATGTTATAGGGACCTCAAAAAGAGGGTCTTTTACGACAGTAATATTCAAAGTTGTGGGTGAGGCATAGTGTTTCCCATCTGAGGCTGTAATTTTCAGGGAATAGTTGATGGGTTGACCAGAAGTATGATTGATAAAAGAGCGTTTGAGTGATATCACCCCAGAGAAATGATTTAGATCAAAATACTGTAGTTCATTGCCTGACACAAACTCATATTTTAGATTCTGAAGCTCATCCACATCTATAGCTGACATGGTCATTATGGATTTTCCTACTGGCCAGTCTTCACGGATAGACCCAGTGCAGTTGACTTGCTCAAACATAGGCTTGTTGTCATTCAAGTTCTTGAGCCTAAGAGATATAGACACTTCCTTTTCCTGGCGAAATGGGGATCCCCAATCTGATGCCCGTACTCGGAAGGTATAAATTCTTTTCATGAGCTCATAGTCCATGGGTTTGGAGGTGGAGATGATCCCCAGGTAAGGGTCGATAGAAAAGGGCACAGCTTTTGGACGAGTGATGGAATAGGTGACGTATCCATTCTCTCCATGATCCTGGTCTGTGGCACTAACTGTCAAAACACTGGTGCCTGGTGGGATGTTCTCATCAAAGGTATTATCATAGGAGGACCTGCTGAAGATGGGGGCATGGTTGTTACAGTCCACGATATTGATTACCACGGTGGTGGAAGCCAGGCCCGGTAAGGTTCTGATGTGTAGCTGGAAGTGGGTTCGGTCACGGAAGTCCATGAGCTTTGTGGTGGTGATGAGTCCAGTGCGAGCATTAAGTCTGAACCCCGCATTCCCTGAGGATGGCTTTAGAACATACTGCAGGTTGGGGAAGGGTCGGGTTACTTTCACCATCTCCACGCGGCTCCCAGGAGGGGAAAACTCACTAAGCTGCACTCTGTAAACAGCCTTCTCAAATTTAAGGGAAGCCAGTTTGGAAGGCGGTAGGTGAAAGCCCCTAATTTGGGAATAAAAAGAAGGCCTGCTCCCACTCCTGGCCTGCAGGCTGAGGTTGAATCCATGAAGGTGTTCCAGCCAGTCGATGTCTTTGACCGACACCAAACTGAACTCATTGCTGAAGGTGTAAGACTTGATGGCTTTGAAGTACTTTCCAGGGTCACCACCAACAATTTCCAGTGAGTCCACTTCAGCACCTGAGCTGTTTGCATCTACCATAACAGTGGCATAGGTGGTACCCACACTGCTGTCTGGTGGAGCCACCACCACGGAGGTGATGGCTGGGGGCTTCCTGAGGGCAGGCTCCACATGGATGACGAGTGCAGCCAGATTACCAAAGCCATTGCCCTCTGAGATTTTCCTCATGCGGTCCACAGCCATCACCTGGAGCTCATACCTCCCTCGCCAGGTGACATTGAGCTTCCCAGCCAAGGTGACCACGCCGCTGGTGGGATGGATGGCAAACATCTCTGACCTCGTGTTAAAGGCATAATAGAACTTGGCATTTTGGCCCAGATCAGCATCTGTGGCGGTCACCTTGCAGATGGGGCTCTTGAGGGGCATGTCCTCAGAGATGGTGACTCGGTACGAGGGCGGGGAGAAGAGGGGCTTCAGGTCATTCTGGTCCAGGATGTGGACCACCACGCGGGTCAAAGCTTCTAACTCCAAGGTCTTCTCCGTGGCTTGGATGATGAGGGTGTAGCTGTCTCGCACCTCCCTGTTCAGAAGGGCCGTGTTGCTGCTCTTTGTCCTTATTCTCAGAAAGCAGAAGTTGCCCACCACGTACTCCTCTGTTTTAAACACATTGGCCACGTCCCCAGAGATAATCCGGTATCTCACTGCCCACTGGGGCTCAGCCAAGTAAATGCCCATTTTCACAGAGCTCTCCACATAGGTCTTGGGGGCAGAGTTTTCATAGATGGTCACATTATAGAGAGAGTGTGTGAAGCGCCAGGCGGAGGAGGAGAGGAGACCTTCTCGGGGCTTTTCACAGGTTGTACAATGGAGCAAGAAAATGAAAAAGCCCAAGAAGGCAATAATCATGATGGAAAAACTCCCGAAGCCCTAGGCAAAAAAAAGGAAGGGTGTAAGTTAGGAAAGAAATGTCTCTTACTGCTGGGGTTCTTAGCTGGGGTGATTTTGCCTCTCAGGGGACACTTGGCAATGTCTGAAGACATTTTCGACTGTCCCAGCTTGTGGGGGAGGGGGAGATACTGGCATCTAGTGGATAGAGGCTGGGGTGTTTACTAAACATCTTAACGTCACACAGGACAGCCTCCCAACAACAAAAAATCATCCAGCCCCAAATGTCAATAGTGCTGAGGTTGAGAAACCCCATATTTGAAGACTAACAGACTAGTTTAAATGCTTTCTCAGGGGTACCTGGCAGATACAACACATTCCTGACCACTTGACTCCTTTTCCCAAAAAACCTTCAATGGCTCCCCAGTGATGGTGGAATAGTTTCAACCAGGTACCCAAGCTTAGCAATCTGGCTCTAGGTACTTCCTACAGGACCCCTCCATCAAGGCTAAGGTCCAGCCAAACTGAGCTGCATCTGCACATGCAGGGGCTGCAGAAAAGCAAAGTGACCAAGATCACGGGCCTGGCATCAGGTTGCTTGGCCTTCAGCCCTGGCTCCACCACTTACTAGCTGGGTGATTTTCTGGGCAGGTTATTTAACCTCTATGAGCCTTGATTTCCTCTTCTGTAGAATGGGGATAAGGATATTATCTACCTCATTGGATTGTTGTGAAAATTAAATGGACTAACAAAGGTAAATGACCCAGCAGGGGGCCTGGGACATAGAAGTTTTAACTTAATATTGGCTATTATTAGTAATAAGAAACTCAGTTTCATAAAGGGAAGGGACCCATCCAGGGCCTTACAGCTAGATAGAGGCAAAGCAAGAATTAGACCTGGGGCTCCTTGCATCATTGTCCAGGGCTGCTTCCCCTATCCCAGGCTTGCCTGCACCTGTCACACCACTAGTCCCTTTGGATGGGGCCTGATTCTGACTCATCCTGTAAGTTCAAATCTCCTGGAATGTCAGAGCTACAATGGACCTTTGAGACATGGAGTTCTGACCCCACTCCTCTGCACAGATGGGGAAATAGAGCCCCAGAAGGGAGATGAGTCTTGCCCCATTTCACATAGTGGGTGGCAAGGAAAGAACTCATCCCTGGGAGTTGTTGAACTAGCGCTGAATGAGTACTTCTCCCCCTAAGACCTGCTGCAGCTGCCATTCTCTCCCGTGCCATTTCCCACATGGCTCATCCCTGAACTCCAGCCTGGGTTAAAGTCCAACTTCAGTGTTAAGGACAGGGAGAAGATAGAACGGGAGTAGGGGAGGGCAAAGTTTCGTTGCCAAACTAGGCCTTCCAGAAGCAAAGTATGAGGCTGCGTACACCAGGCTGGTGCCTGGCCTGCTCGTGAGAGTCCTGACTCCAAGGAGCTTCGTGGCTGGCAGCCAGATGTGCGGAGCATTCCTGGATGAAACAGGCAAGACTTGTTTTTCCAGTTGCCTCGCTCTTCAAAGGCAAGGAAGAGTTAAACTCCTGGGGCAAGAGGGGAAAGGAGAGGCTTGCATCTTTGTCTTTCCAGAGTCCTGAGGGAGCTGAATGCAGCTTCTTCAGGACCTTGCAGGGAGCATCCCAACATGGGAGGCGGGAGTAGAAAAGTCTGCCTAACTTGGGATCTGCAAGCCTGTGACAGGAAAGAATTTGAAAATGCCCCATCCTTCCAGCCTCCCTACTGCCATCCTTCTCTTGAAATTCTATTGGTGGCACCACAGGCCCAGCACCTCAGAGAAGAGGGGGGCAGGAATGGAGGTAGATTCTACACTTGGGGTGGCTATTCCCCATCCTTCCTGCCCTCTACTCTTACTCCTCACTTACTGCTGCAGCTCACAATGGAGCTGACCCCAGACAAAAGCCATATTCCTTCCATTCCACTCACCCCATCCCTGACACAGTCTCCTGCAAGAGGGGGTGGACCTCTGAGTCACGGGGACCCCAACCCCCCAGGGTGGCATCGCATTGGAAGTTGAAGCCCCAAGGAAAAATGAGTTCTTACCCTAGTCCCAGGTCTGCTCACTCTGCAGCCCAGCGAGCCTGGGGTGCGTACAGCCTCCCTGCTCAGCCTGCCCTGCTTTGCACAAAGCTTCCTGCTCACCAGGTCAGCACCTGTGTAGGGCAGGCCCCAACAAGACACACCACTCGGCCGCTGCACAGGCGTCTTGCAGAGATGAGCTCAGGGAAGGGAGCAGGGGCAAGGTCTCCCTGGAAGGGGATAAGATGCAAAGAGAATGCACCCTTGGATGAGGGCTTGGTGAGCAGGGCTGTGTTCAAGCTGTAAGATCCACAGACCAGGCGAGTGGTTTGCTGAGGAAGGGCCTGTGTCTGGACATTTGTTTCCTAGCACTATGCCTGGGCAAGTGAACAGGTTTGCAAGGTGCAGAGGCATGTTGGGTTCCCTGGGCTGCCCTCCCAGCCCACAGCACCTGGAACCATTATTTTGAAACACCTTGTGAGGGGCGCCTGGTGGCTCAGTCAGTTAAGCATCTGCCTTTGACTCAGGTCACGATCCCAGGGTCCTGGGATCGAGCCCCATGTCCTGACTGCCTGCTCAGTGGAGAGTCTGCTTCTCCCTCTGCCCCTCTCCCCCACTTGTGCTTGCTTTCTCTCTCTTTCTCTCTCTCAGATGAATAAATAAAATATTTTTTAAAAAAGAAACATCTTGTGAAAACATAAATCAATTCAGCTCACTTCCCTTCTTAAAATTTTCCAGTGGCTTCGCATAGCATTCAGATTAAAATCTAAACTCCTTATTATGGCCTACAAGGCCATGTGGGCCCACATGCCTGCCTGCTTTTCTAATGATACCTCCCAGCACTCTCCCCATTGTTCATCAAGCTGCAGCCACATGGGCCTCCTTTTTCCTCCACAAACATGCCAAACTAGAGTCTGCCTCAGGGCCCTTGCACTTGCTCTTTCCCTTAAGATTCTCACATGGCTGGCTCCTTCTTTTTTTTTTTTTTTTAAAGATTTTATTTATTTGACAGAGAGACACAGCGAGAGAGGGAACACAAGCAGAGGGAGTGGGAGAGGGAGATGCAGGCTTCCCGCTGAGCAGGGAGCCCGATGTGGGGCTCGATCCCAGGACCCTGGGATCATGACCTGAGCCGAAGGCAGACGCTTAACGACTGAGCCACCCAGGCGCCCCTGGTTCCTTCTTGTTATACTTCTTCCTGGCTCAGCTCTCAGATGTCACATTCTAACACCCAGTTTGATGTAGCCTCCTTCCTAGCACCCTTCTTTATCATACCACCCCATTTTCTCCATGGCACTTAGCACCACCCAGTATGTTCTGGCTAATTTGTTTAGTGACTGTCTCCTACACTAGACACTGGGCTCCATGAAGACAAGAGCTTTGTGTATCTTATTCATGCATGAATTCCCAGTGTCTAGTACATAACCCTACTCAATAGGTGAAAACTGGAAAGATCTGGACTTAGGAAAAGCAATGACAGAATGAAAACTGAATTAGTGATTATCCTTTAGTGATTATCGTTTCCTTTCTGAAGCTGGAATATGAAGTCCCCCCAAAAGAAAGGGACTTGCCCGGGATGCCCAGGTGGCTCAGTCGGTTAAGCGTCTGCCTTCAGCTCAGGTCATGATCCCAGGGTCCTGGGATCGAGTCCCACATCTGGCTCCCTGCTCAGCGGGGAGCCTGCTTCTCCCTCTCCCTCTGCCTGCTGCTCCCCCCTGCTTGTGCTTGCTCCCTCTCTCTCTGACAAATAAATAAATAAAATCTTTTAAAAAAAGAAAGAGAAAAGAAAGAAAGGGACTTGCCCAAAGTGACAGGGTAAGAACCAGAGCCAGGTTCTTTCCTCCAGACCACACTGCCAGAAAGAGAAGCTGTGGCTCCTTGTGAATCCGACCCTTTGGGGTTAAATCCAAGCTCCACTGCTTGCCAACTACATAACCTTGGGTAAGCTAACCTCCTCAAACCTCTGTTTTCTCATCTGTAAGATGGGGCTATTAAGAGTACTGCTTTCCTAGGGTTTTATAAAGACTAAATAAATAAGATCATGCCCATTAATGTACTTAACACAGTTCCTGGCCCATAGAAAAGCACTCAATAAATATTAGTTATTATTAGTTTGCAAAGCCAAGGCCGAATCAAAACCTGAGGTTGGGGTAAGGGTGGGGCCCACTGAACCCTCTGGAGAAGGTCCAGCCTGTGCCCCAGCAGAGCAGGAAGCTGCTGGTCTCTGGTCGAGTCTAAGCTTGCTGGCCCAGCCACAGGCTGTTCTGGTAAACTGCGAGCAGGTGCTTGTCTGGGGTGGGGCCTCCTGTTCTTGGCTCCCCAGACTCAGAAGAAAATCTGCATGTGGATGAATGTGCACATTTGCAAGAGAGCACACACATACTTAGGTGGCAATTTTTGAATAGTTGTATGGATACATTAATGGTATGTGCCTGCTTGACAGATGAATATGATATGAGCAAATAAGTCGGTAGCTATGGGGCTTGTGTGTGCACAGGTGTGAGCAAGTGCAGGGGTGAGGGTTCATGAATGGACCCTTTTAGGATATATGTCTGAATCAAATCTGCCTCCTTGGAACTCCCAGACCCATCTCATAGATGGGGAGACAGCAGAAAAGTGGTTCATAACACACAGTTTCTGGCTGTGTGACCTTGGGCAAGTGGCTTACTGTCGCAGATTTTCATTTCTCTCCTTCATAATACCATTTTGAGAATGAAATCAGTTAATGCACGTAAATGCTAAATATAGTAGGTGACACAGTTTTCAATAAATATTACTGAGTACTATTACTTTTAGCAGCCAGCTCATATACTGACTGCTGAGTTTGTAGGTAATGAAAACGCTCAGATGTATTATCATGCCATCCCAAATCTGTTCTTCATGAGCTGATTTCCTCCAACTCAGTGCTGTAGGGCTTAAATGAGACCATGATGCACTTGACCCTGTGCTTCAGCTCACTGCTCCAACTTCTCAGAATCTGGATTCCAACATTCAGAAGCTTGGTGGTTGTGACA